GGGGGGGGGCATACGGGAAGAACTCTCGGCTACTTATAATTAACCCTAGCGCTCCTAGCCCGTAGGACAAACAACACTTATGTTTCTATTTTGAAGCAACAGCATATAATTGACTAATTTGCATTAGCCTTGTATAATTTTTGTTTCCTTTTGGACTATCAAAAAACTTTATTCACTTATTTACACATCAATCTATACTTCGTGCTACTAACCTGCTTTTCTGAGAATTCTCCAGTGTCACTGACGAAATGTATTGGACGCTACCTGAAGCGTCTGACGGTTTCAAAAACCATGTCCAGTTGCTTGAGTAACCCTCTTTGGGGCGGAATAGATATCTCTTGCTCATAGTTTATAACTCAAGTGCAGGAAGAGCGTGACTGTACATGCTAGCACCGTTTCAATTGAGGTCATCTACAATGTTAGACGGTCACATGTACAGGACTAGGGTACAAATCCACAAGCAAGCAAACACACACAATGTAAACCATACGACACTTTTTTGAATTGAAAATTGAACGAAAAGGAAAATCAACAAATTTATCATCTTCCAACTTAAGATCTGACAAAAAATACAATTTTGGCACAAATCATTGTTCAAACACTCTAAATATTCAACAAAGCTAGGAAGCTGTACAAAAATGCTATAGCAGCATATGTTTGCAATAGATATATACAATATGTATCATAACCGCGAGGAGTTCCTTTGACTGGGAAAAGGGCATCTAAAGAATATGTTTACCTTTATTATTTTCTTTAACACAAGAAAGTCAATATATCAACCATATTTACATACTTATATACAAAATTTATACCCTACTGAGTTGAACAAAGTGTATAATCACTAAATATGGATCCGTTTATCAATCAGAAAGAATTTCATTGTGTTAATAGTGGATTTTTTTTTGGACCGGAAGCATCTGTTCATACGTAGGTAGCTCTTACATGAACTGCAACTTTACCTTGTCGTCTCTTGAGAGTCGAATTTCTTAGGAAACGCTGTAATGATAATCATTTCCCTGTCCATTGTCGCAACAAGTCTGGTTTAAGACTCGACGTTTGTCCTTCGAAGGTCGTTCACGTTCTGGATATCGTTGTAAATGTGCTGTACAAAATTTATATCATTGCTATGTAATGCTGAGGTCACATTTTGAAACCTAGGCCAGGTTGGCCCGTCTGCGTCAATGGCCATGGAAAATTAACAATCCATATCAAGGATATAAAACAAATTGTACTCATGATTTGTTCTAAAACGTTTTGTGTTTTCTTGTCTTTTATATGGCACTTTTAGAAAGCTCCGTAACAACCGTTTTCCGTCAGTGACATCATACTTTTGGCCCACAGATAGCAGTATGTTCCAAGATAGAGTGGATTTATCTTACTGCATAAAAACAGACTATTAAAAATCCAGTTTTACATGCTCTGAAATAGCTTTGGGTGCATTTAACATTTAACTTGTAGCTAAAAAAATGCCCTCTGGTTGTTCTTTTATCTGTGTTGGAAGCACTGTCTCGTTTCCATCTCATCCAAGCTCACTGCAGGAAAAAAATTACATATGTCAGGAATGGACTCCAAAACAACCGTTTTTTTTTTTACAAAATTAGAGAACATGAAAATAAAATACGATACGATGGATACCAAGTAATAATTAAGAAAAGTTGTCTGATACTGCCATAAAGGTTAAATTGTGTGTTTGTCCCAACACAAAGAACTCACTGGACACTGTAAGAATATTGGACACTCAACTTTCCTGAGAGGGGTAAATGAGAATATTTACATAAGGGCCCATCGCCAATAACTTAACCGCGACGGGGGCCGCCATCGTTTACCAGATTTTTGACCCATTATCGGTGTCAGACTTCAAAGAAGCCACGTGACAAGCTTCACTGGGTCAGTCTATCGAAGAAGACCAGGGGGACTGGGCGAAAGCTGAGAAATGTGTTGGAAGAAAAGTTTTAACTTAAAACAAGAAGATGACTGAGTTGAACTAGTTTTTACAGAAAATAAAAATCTTACCCCAACTCTCGCAGCTGAGTTGGCTTTTCTGTTAAGACTCTGAGAAGGAAGGGACCTTCTATTTTCGGCTCGTGCGTGGTGGGGACGATGACGTATGTGCCTGGGTCCATCTGGATACGCAGAGTGACCTCTCGAGTGTTGTAATAGGACAAGGTTCTGAAGACGGGTGAAGACTGGCCCAACTGACGCTTGGACAGTTTGAGTTCCCGGTCTGGACTCGAGACCTGTATAAAAAGTGTGAAAAAGTGGTGAAAGTAACAAGAAAGATAACAGTTGCAAAGAAAATGCATAATATGTTTACCTTCGTATATGGTCTGCTCTGTTACTCAAGCAAATTCGTATATATGGTTTCAGGAGACTAAATCCCTCCCGCTATAAAATTGCAACATGATGTAACCGAACCCTAGTTACCATGGTGGCAGACGTCTGGTTCAGGTCATTGACCTCATTACTTTGGGGAAGAAGAGGAAAGATAGCAAAAAACTATGTTTTCTTTCAGTGAACATAAAAAAAGTAATCTCGATCCAGCTTTAGCTCACTTAAAAGCTAATCTCCCATTGGTCGGGACAGAGAAGACATACGCGAGGTAAATTCCCCTAGCTCTTTTCGACAAGCGAAATAAATTGTGGACTACAGCTTAATTTCCCATCCTAAGGACTGCGACCACATATGGGATTCGAATCTCTATGGGGTTTGCAAAAAAATATTGTGATCAAAACAGTTCTTGTCCACGCCTGCAAACGTGTGAACCAATCAGCTACTGTTGCGAAATGCAAAGATAATGATTGGCACCGAATTTTCATGTATGATCAGTGTGATAGAAAAAAAATGAGAAGAGAATCGATCTCGTATTGCCTTAACGTGCACTTCTTCGCCAAACACTATTTGGTAAAATGTACGTAAAGAAACCCAATATCATCTGGGAAAGAGATGAAACAAAACTAAACTGGTTATTTAATGAGTGTGTTTTTGAAACTGCATTTTATGTTAATCAAGCTTGGAAAAAACGCAAAACCTTCATTTATTCATAAATTTCTTCTCTGATTTCTCTTTTCCGGACTCGTTCACATATTTAAGTTCCTTTGACCTTTTGTTTCATTTATGTTCTTTTGACAATTTCAGTTGAATTTGTGTACTTTTGACTCTAATGTACGGATTATGTTATGTACAACATTGTATTAAGTTCATTATTTTTATTTGATGTTTCCAGCCTGACTTTTTGATTCGGACTTGGATTTATGTTTCTATGATTTCTGTACCTATGTTTATGTTCATGTTTATGTTTTGGTGTCCTATTTAAAGCCCACATGGGCTGGGCGACAAAAGTCGCAAGACACGTAAATAGAATAACGTTATAAAACGTCAGAGAGTTCTTTCTTTTTTCTTACCTCGTAGACCTGGAAGCCGATATGCGTAAATTTCCCTTTGAACTGCTTATTCTCCTGCATGAGACCGATCAGAACTGAGCATGTGCCGCGGTCTTCCTCGTCGTCTTCTTCCGGGTCAAAGTCATCTGGTATGAAAAAGAGTTGGTTAGACACAGTTTACGATATATGGAAACGTATTCTTCAGGGTCAAATTCATGTGTGAAGAGGTAATGTCGGTTTTATATAGTTTTTTTTTACGACAGTGTGAAGAGGTAGTGTCAGTTTTTTCTACCTGCAGACGACAGTGTAAAGACATACTGTCGGTTTTACATACCTGCAGACGGCAGTGTAAAGAGGTAATGTCGGTTTTACATAGTTTTTTTTTACCTACAGACAACAGTGTGAAGAAAGGCTGTAGGTTTTACATACCTGCAGACGGCAGTGTGAAGAGGTATTAATGTCGGTTTTACATAGTTTTTTTTTACCTACAGACAACAGTGTGAAGAAAGGCTGTAGGTTTTACATACCTGCAGACGGCAGTGTGAAGAGGTAACGTCGGTTTTACATAGTTTTTTTTACCTGCAGTGAAGCGTGATGTGAAGCGGTAATGGCGGTTTTACATAGTTTTTTTTTTTACCTACAGACGACAGTGTGAAGGGGTACTAATGGTATTACATACCTGCAGACGACAGTGTGAAGAGGTACTATCGGTTTTACACACCTTCAGACGACAGTGTGAAGAGGTACTATCGGTTTTACATACCTTCAGACGACAGTGTGAAGAGGTACTGTCGGTTTTACACACCTTCAGACGACAGTGTGAAGAGGTACTGTCGGTTTTACATACCTTCAGACGACAGTGTGAAGAGGTACTGTCGGTTTTACATACCTTCAGACGACAGTGTGAAGAGGTACTGCGGGTTTTTCCAATAGGTCTTTTGGTACCCCACGCTGCCGCCGGCTGTCTCTCCCTTCACCCACTCTCCTATCTCCTGTGCCACGTCCCACTTCGATTTCGGTCCTAGCAAAGAAAGACAACATAAGAAATAAATATCATTGTTATAACTGACTAAAACTCAACATTACATTTGTTGAAGTGATGAACACAAAATACTTCCTAGCAATATACGTAGAAAATTTCACCTAAGTATACGATTGCCTCCGTAAGTGTGTTAAATATTTATTAGAAGGAAAACTTACTAATACATTTTTGTGCAGAAATATATTTTTAGTCGGATTGAAAGTTTAAGGGTTTAATAGTAGACGGTTCATAGTTCTAAGTGTATGTAGACGAATACATTCCGTGAAGAAGGTTGATGGAGACAACAGACAATTTTGGGTTAGTCCTAATTCTTTGTAGTCAGAAGTTAAAGCTTAGTCTTCATTAAAAAAAAAAAAACTTACCAGTTCTAACAGTCTCGTGCTCTGCTAGTGAAGCGATGGTGACCTCTCTGTAGAATTCGCTCCAATCATCGTACTCCATCCTGTCATTGGGATAACATTAATGCAGTGTAAGTCTAGAATGATTACACCTTGCATAAAGTTATATATTCCTGTATGTGGCTCTATTTTACACTATACACGTACAATGCAATTTTTAAAGCCCGATATATTATAAGTAATAAACAAACTCTTTCGGGGTGTTGCGCATCTAACTAGGATGTTATACATGTATCGTTAACTTTATTAATGAACTAGTAAATTACTTTTTGACTAATTTAACCTCTCTTCTTTGCATGCAAGTTGCAACTAAGTATGTGTCAATTTGAATCTGAAATATGTTAAACGTTTCAGCAACTAATAATTAGTATAAAGCACACTTCATACCAGAATTCCCCGTCGTCTTTGTTTTCATGATAAAGTCTCTGTTTGACAGCTTCCGACACTCCCTGCCACTCTGGCGATCTGGAACCGTATAAGATATGCCAGTTTTATCCTCATCATCATCATCACCATCATCATCACCATCATCACCATCATCCTTACCATCATACATCCGGAAAAACTTCCAGTGAGGAAAATGAGATGAAGTAACTCCGATACTTTTTGTAGGATTGAGGTGTTCAAGAATTTATTCTAGAACTATTCTATTCTATTCTCGAACTATTGTAGAGTGGAACTCGCTGTCACCCAATACATGTACAGTTGGGGCGTTGTCATTAGATAGCTTTAAACAATGTCTTGAGTTAGATGTTCGAGGGTTAGGTGTAACAAGTCGATTGGTGTAATGTAGCAAGCTGCCGCAGCGCCGAATGCCTTTGTGCGGTGCAGGTGTGTTATGCCGAAAGGCGGCGCCTGCTATACAGATACAGAAGCTGGTGTGTTACGCCGAAGGGCGGTTACACCGGATATGCAGATACAGATACATATGACAAACACCATGTACCAGGACTCCAAGGCTGACAGAGTTAGCTGAAAATTCGGGTTAGTCCCAACTTACGTAGTGTTGGACATATAACGTTTAGCCTTGTCATAATGAAGTATACCGTGACAGATTGGCTTTCATGCTATGACCCATACTTAGTTTAATCCGTAGCAGATACAGACTACTGACCCGTCACTCCAGGCTCCCTTCCACTCCTGTCTACCCCAGGGGTTCCGGATCTTGATAAGTCGGTGTGTCTTTCCGGAGCTCCGGATCTGAAAAAAACCGTCAAGAACAAATAAGATCCTGTCGGCAATAGAAGGTTACGACTTGAAAATATCTGTTTTACAACTCTTTTGGTAAAATTATTTCGCTTGTTCCATAGAGCATATATAATGAAATGCCAACTACCTCTGGTGATCTGTAAAGGGACTGCCATTGCCTTTGTATCCTTAGATGTGGGGCAGAAAAAAACAACTATCTATTCAGAACCAATCTATTCTATCATGCCATTACAAGTTTAAACGTCGATAAGGACGATAACGTACCTAATTAAATGTTCTTGAGAATTAGTGAATTAGATAATTTGGTTTTACAACTGTTCTCCAACTAAAAATAATCGTCCGGTCGTTGGCACCTTACGTCATTACGTAGAAATGCCATTTACATGTACATCATGGCGCACCGGGACGGGGGGCGATATAAACTTTTCAAAATCTGTGAGTCTTTGCTGGTGCCACAAACATAGACACGTGCCCTGATTGCCCTGAGGACTGAGATATCCAGCGGAAAATTTTCTTACTTCATTTCTTAAAGTAGAAGAAGAACTACATTGGTACATAATTAATGACGAATAGCCTCCTTCGCAGACTTGTTAATTTGTTCGGAGAGCGAAGCAAGTAATTATGCCGCGGATGGACGGTTTTGCCGCCGAGGGAATTTGCCTGGGAGAGACGGTTTCGACCTCCGGCAGAGTCCCTCGGTGGCAAAATAGTCCCTCCGCGGCATATTAAACTCGCGTAAAAACTGAAAAAACTAAAACTGTCGCTCCCCGAAAAAAATTAATGCCGCCGCCTCAGAAATCTACGAAGGAGGCTAATGATAACTTACCTTTGAGACTCCAGTTATGGTGTAGGCATGCCCACTCACCAACCCGCTATCATGTCCCTCCTCAAACGTGCTCTGTGTTGGTTCAAACATGTAGAAATCAAATATTTGTATTAAATATCGTTAGGCCCAGGAAAATAATGTTATGTTTTTAACTATGGTTACTGGCAAGGTTACCTTCTTTAACCAAATGAAAATGTACAAATTAATGTAAATTTATAAATTAAGTCTTGTATCTTGTATCATGTATCTTTGACGCTCTTCCCCTAACAAGATAATTATATTTTCTCTTCCTTACAATATACAATTCCTAAAAGGATGTACATGTACAGCAATCCAAAAGTCTTGGCCACATGCACTTCCGTTAAAATTTAAACGTACAAGCGTTTAATAAAAACATAAGAGTGCATAAGAATATTTGAGGAACGTGCTACCCGTGACTTCCATTGGTTGAACAGCTATCTGCCATCCTCTCACTGGAGCTCCCATTGGTCTTATTAATAATTACATGTATATTAAACGTTAAACTTTATTCCAACACACAATTTACAGAGATCAAATTTTCAGCGACCACTTTTGCCTTCATCAGGATGGCCAATGTTTCAATGTGCTGGTGGCACTTTTGATGGAACTTTTGATCAAGTGCTTACGTCCCGTATCAGTAAAGTCTCGTGTGAATAAGGTCACGTGTTTGTACACCGTAACTCTCGCGAGATCACGTTGTGAAGTGATTGGTCATTAATTATCCTGATGAAGGCGACAGTAGTCGCTGAAAAATTGATCTCTGTAAATTGTGTGTTGGAATAAAGTTTAACGTTTTACTATGATTACTATCAACACAGATGAACTTCCATAATAATTAATAATTATGATTGACAGTATCTTACGTGTGTAGAGCACGTCATGAAAGACCCCCGTTTCTGAGCCTTCAGCATGGCTTGGTACAGGACGGCTGCCTCCTGAAATCCGGTTTTGAATCTCTCACAGATCCCCCCGGTTAGGTCTGTCAAGGCGACCGTGGTCTGGCCGCGATCAAGGGAGGAGTAAGAACCATTCAGCCTGTGGGAATGGACGGTATGAGCGTGAGTTGGAATTCACACTACGTTATCAATAGTACGGACACACACTCAAATATCTCCAAGCAGATCCCTCTCGGTGGCAAAAAGACAGTATCAAATTGACCAGGCAGTATTTATTAGCCAGAGAAGCTCCGCGGCCACCGACGCCGCGACGGGTGGGGGTCAGGACAAAAAAAACGGCCATGTATAAAAATGTAACGATCATTCCCCCACAACATCTGCTTGGAAAGTACACAGTCACATACACACACTCACACACACGCACCATCACACACCCTCAAAAACATAATCACACACACACGCGCGCACATAAAAACACACATACTCACACAAACGCACACATACATGCACAAAAACATACGCTAGCACATTCACACACACACATACGCGCGCGCGCATGCCTGTACACACAACATGAGTACGAAACCGCACCCAAAATAGTTATCCCGTATTCTTAGGTAACGTTGCATGAAAAAAAAAAACAATGTCACTTACTTTGCATATGCTTTTTCGATGAGAGGCAGCCAAAACTCGTTCTTGTCGCTACACCTGGCGTACGTCAGGTTACTCCATCTGGTCGGCAGTTTGTCGTCCACATACACGTCCTCCCACTCCCCGAACCGCCAGAACCGGAAGTGCGCCACGCCCGCATACCGGCCCTCCCCCCTCCACAGGTACTGGTCTTTGGGGATAACCTTTAGGGAAAGGACAACGTCAGCTTTTTGTAAAGTATATTGATAGACTTACAGATATACATATACAAACATTTTTTCATAATTTGTCAACTAATAGTGGTAAATTAAGATTTTATGCAAAATGTAAATCCATGTACACCATAGAACGATATCTTAATATTACAGATTTCGAACTAAGCTCAGCCATTAGTAAAATTAGAGTTAGCGCCCATCCTCTGGAAATAGAAAGAGGCCGGTATAGAAGACTACCTGTATGTGAAAGAATCTGTAAATATTGTAGTGCAAAGGCTGTAGAAGACAAAATACATTTTATTAATTTTCAAACTGTTCATTCCACAACAACGCTCGAAATGAATTGACTATTCAATTCAAACTTCTACAATTTATCCCATTTTCTCTAAACGTAAACTATTCTTCTTCTGAAATCTGATAAACTTTTAAATTACCCCCCTCCCCTCCACAGGTACTGATCGTTGTGGATAACCTTTAAGGACAGAACAGCGGAGATGTCAAACTTTTGCATACACATCACTTGTAAGACCGAACCTAGAATATGCTGCGACAGTATAGGATCCATATACAACGAAAGACAAAGACAAATCGGAAAGGGTACAGAATCAAACTGCAAGATTCTGCATGAACAACTATGTAAGAGGTGCTAGTGTCACGGAAATGAAAAGAAACCTACAGTGGGCCTCACTGGAAGACAGAAGAAAGATGTCCAGACTATGCATGATGTACAAAATGACTAATAAACTGGTGGACGTTCCAACTATTAAGTACCTGATACCAGTCCAGAAGAGAACTAGAAATAGCCATGCCTTCAAGTACCAGAGTTATCAACCAAAAGGATTGAGGTGTTCAAGAATTCATTCTTTCCTAGAACTATCGCAGAGTGGAACTCACTCTCACCAAGTACAGTAGGGGCATTGTCATTAGATAGCCTTAAACAATGTCTAGAGTTAGAAGTTCAAGGGTTAGGTGTGACAAGTCGATCGGTGTAATGTAGTCAGCTGCCGCCGCACCGCGTGCCTGCGAAGCTGGTGTGTTACGCCGAAAGGCAGTTATACCGGCTATACTGATACAGATACAGATTTTGTAAAGTATTTTAATAAATTTATCGAGACAACCGGGGAGGTGATATCAAATAAAAACTAATAATAAAATTTTATTACTCAACAAATGTAACTGGTACAATGTATGGCAGAGAATAAACAACAAGGGACGATACACGAACTATACAGATATACAATTTCAGCAGAGTTAATCCATACTATATACTACAATTTTAATTCTAGCGAAGCTAATCTATTGCATGCTATTATATTAGTTTTTTTTTTTTTGCAATTTCCTAGCGCAATCGAATTTTTCCCGAGCACCGGCAGACCTAGCCGGCTTTCCTCTGACCTATTCCATACGTTAATTGTGTTCGGCTAGTGTTCGGGAGGTTGAATTTGGAAATGTGTGATAGGGAATGATATTGGATACGGCTGAGGAAGGCTTCGCCTGTAGTGAGCCAGTCTAGTCGCCTCTGACGTGTTTGGATCTTAGGTACCCCCAGTGTTTGTCCTAGTTTGTCTTAACCCTTGTCCTGCTGGCATTCCTGGCACAATATTTTTCAATAATTTCATGTCTTAATTAGATCATAGACCCCCAATTTTTTTTGCCTTGCAGTGGCATAGTTACTTCTGCATTCGTTGCGTTTCGCTGCGGTGTGATGCGTTGCACGAGAAATACCCCCAAATCGTATCTATACAGGGTGTAATATAGATGGTACTGTATGTGCCGCGCGACATATGTTGCGCACAGCAGGACAAGGGTTGGTTGACTGATGTGCTGTTTACCACCCACTCTGGCAGTGATTTCTAGTCTTTCACACTCTTCACGCTATATAACACATGACCTCTGGATCTAGCTTCTGAAGGGGAATTTCGTTGTTGTACTGTCCGACAACAAGAAGAATGCATCTGCTTGGATTCTCTCTTTTTCAGTTAATATTTTAAATACTTGGACTATGCCCTTTCTTCTTCTTCTTCTCAATGGAAGACTTAACGCAGGTACCACTGACCTTAGCCATGAGCTGACTCTCCCTGGCGATGGACGCACACGCCGACAGGAACCAGCAGTCTCCCAGCGTGCCCTGCTTCACGTCATCCGTACTCACACCGTGAACAAGCAGCCGGGGGTTGTCTGACATTTCCTGGAATGGATGGATGGATGAATGAATGAATGAATGAATGAGTGGATAAATGAATGGATAAATGAATGGATAAATGAATGAATGAATGAATGAATGAATGAATGAATGGGTGGGTGAATGAATAAATGACTAAATGGATTAATGAATGGATAAATGAATGGATGGATGGATGGATGGATAGATGGATGAATGAATGAATGACTGAATGAATAAATGCATGAATGAATGAATGAACGAAGAAATGCAGGAAGGAATGAAGGAATGGACGAATGTGTAAATGAATGGATAATGAATAAATGAATGAACAATAAACAGCTTCTTCTCACTTCGGGACACTTGAAGTTTATTTTTGGGACAGTGCTGGGACAATAGGAAGAAAAGTTAATTTCGAGGCCTGAAAATATAGAACTTCTCCACCCACCTTTGGTCTCTTCCACTCGATGTCTTTTCCGTCCTTCCCCTTATGGTCTATAGATTTCGGCGTTGCAGGGAAGTCAGGGTCGTCCCACGGAATACCGGAGTCCAGACAACTCTGAATGGCAAATCTCATCTCCTGTGAGGAGGAAGAAATGATCAAGATTGTGGAATCAAGAGGTCCCGGGTTCGAGTCCTGACATGCCACCGATCTTGTTCCCTTGGGAAAGGCAGTTTACACGACTTTCCTGACTTCGTTCAGGTAAAAAATGAGTATTGTCTTGTCCCCTGTGTTGGTGGCGACATTAAGATATGTTAAAAAAAACTGAGTGCACCGTCACCACGTCTTGTGATTAGATGTTAGAATATATATCAAAAAAGTGATCATAAGCAAGTACAGTAATATCAGCGGGTTTGGTGAATGGTTCTTTATACTCAAATATTTTACTTGTTTCAACAGATACAAGTCTCAACCCTCATACTGTCATACATATATATAATTTGATTTGATTTGATCTATTGAAATTACAAAAAGTGCAATAAACCCGGAATAGAGGCAGCTAACGCGGAACAGAGGCAGCTGTTGCTGGTGTTGTGTCCCTCACATAGAAAAGAATACTGGACAGACAATACTTATCTTCACTTGAGTTTAGTGAGGAAAGTCGTATAAAGTGCCTTTCCTAACGGCACAAGATCCTTGGCATGTCAGGACTCGAACCCGGGACCTCTCGATTCTGTGTCGCGCAAGCTGCCGTTGCGCCACACGACCCCACCAGATATAACCCAAACTATGGCACTTAAAAACCATCTACATGAAAATATGCATTTTTGAGTTAGTTAGTCGAACTACATGTACAATGTGCCTAAGCCAAATGGGAGAAGAGATTCTGCTTTAAGCCTCGGTCACAACCCGCCGTACGTGCTTCTGCGTGCTGTCTACGTGCAAAAACGTGGGCAGGGCATCCGTGCATGGTCAGTACCGCCTCCGTACGGAATCCTATGGATTTGGGAGCACGCAGACACGCCGTAGAACTTTAAGTGCATGTAAAACTTTTTCCACGTGCGGTCTGCGGATTCACCACCCGTGCGTGCGAGTATGTGCCGTGCGGAAGAAGCACGTGTGAGTACGGCCTCCTTACGGTAAAGTTGCAATCGCACAGAGATCATACGTTGTAAGCACGTACAACTCACTTACTACTTGCGCAACGTACGATGCACGCAACCGCTCACGGCCAGACGTAACGTGTAGACCACACTCTTACGCCTTGCTCAACCGTGCGAGTGACGTGCGTCGATGCCACTCCTTCCCCACGTTTTCAGACATAGCAGACGTAGCCTCCCAAAAAAGCGTACGGAGAAAAAGGAAGGAAGGCGGGTTGTGACTTTAGTTCAGTGTCCAGAAGTGGCTCTTGTTGATGTGCACCGAGCAAACTCTTAAGAAAATCGAGCAATGTTCCCCAAAAAGCACAACATTGGATGTCTCTCGAATGATTGCATTTTTGCGTATACTAACTATACAATACCACTGCTCCACACAAGTTGTAGTTCTGTATCGATTACACGTAATAGGGAAAGTTTATAATTCTCCTATAGGCGACTGAACACTCCTGACACTTAACCCTGTCGTCTATTCAGGAACACACAAAGGAACAAGCAGGGCGTGGTGTAACATAAAACCTTCTGTCACCAAAGTAACACAAACACCTGTACCCACTAGTCTTCACCAGGCCTTCCTACGGGGCAGGGCTCGTAATACACATTCATGTGTCCTAGCTGTTCATGTGAACAGCTAGGACTTTGAGTATAGGACTATGACTCTGTTTTGACGCATCAGACTGTATCAGACTGTATGTTGTCCACTCTTGTCTTACTGTATGTAACAATGTCTTGTGTAATCTTGCTGGGCTCCCTTCGAAAACCGCTATAAGTAAGCTGAATGGGGCTACCCAGCCGTCTTTTAATGACATAAATAAATAAATGTGCACCTTAGTGCACCCAAATTTTGAGCTGTGCACCCATTATTTTTCTGTGGGTGCACCAGTGCACCCAAATATTTTCTCAGGTTTTCGTATTTGAAGAATAAAAAATGATGTTAAATGTATTAGCATACAGCGTATTCTTAGCATCCAAGTGTCAGAAAAATAACAAGATTATTGTTGTAGTGCTTTCCTTTAGAAATGAATCATATTAGTTTTTGCTGACATTATACTTATTTCATTTTATAAAGTACACCCAAAATATTTTTTGTGCACCCAATTTTTTTAGGTTGGGTGCACCAGTGTACCTACATGTAAAAATTGATTCCCAGCCCTGCTACAGGTGTAATTATAAGGATCCTAAAATTCGTTAAAAATGGAAATAGTTAACCAGGAGAGTCAGTCTTCGAGAGGGTAAATTTCCCCCTTTGAAGGAATTCAAAGAAACATAGCACAGACTAGGTACCCAGGACAGCCGATATTGCGTTTTTGTTGTGAAACTTTGTGTTCCATTCCTCTCCCTAAAAATATCCGTACATGTACCTACTCAAGGACTCAATTTGCAATTTGCACAAGGCCTGCTTGAATTTGCAAATCAAGCTTAGCATGAAACTTCATTTGTGTTGGTATACTTCAGTCTTCGTTATGACCAAAAGTGCTAAACTTTCTAGCAAACTCTTAGTAAACCGGGACTCCGTCAGCCTTGTTCACGGAGCCTTGTTGCAGCAAAGGGGATCCATTCCGTGAAAAGTTGGCCGAGAATTTGGGTAAGTCTCAATTTACTTAGTGTTGGCTAGAAAGTTTAGCCCTTTTGGCCATGATTCATATCAAGCTATTGGATTGTATCTCAACGCATCAAAAATCGAATTCAATCATTCAATTCAATTTACATCCACTGAAAGCTGAACTATGTTAATGCTTCAACTCATAGTATGGTTTTGTATGTATGTGTATGTATGTACCTCTGTAGCTGCTTCGACGTGCACCGGTGGCGGTGTGGGAGGTTTAGGTGTGGGAGGTTTCGGTGTGGGGGGTTTCGGCTCCGGTTGGCGGTGAGGAACTGGCGGTGAATCGGCGCGATCAGGCGGCGGCTTTACCCCGGCATGTGGTCGGGGCCTTGTCGGAGATGGTGGGGGCCTTGTCGGGGTTGGTCGGGGCCTTGATGGTCGAGGTTTGAACAGCTGTACGTCTTTCGTCCTCCGTGGCGGTGGGCGGAGTTTCTGCTGAGGTTGGCGGTGACCGAACGTCGAATCGCCGTGATCTACCGGCTTCCTCCCCCGTGGCGGCCGGGGCGACACGAAGTTAGGAAACGGCACGTGTGGAGGCTTCCGCCCGAAGCGGCCCTGTGGCGGTCCCGTGGGTGGAGCGATGCCTGCGTGTTGCCACTGCGGAGGGGGAGGGTAGTTCCGATGTTGGTAGGTGACGTACTGAACGCTCCCCTGGTTAGGGGCGTACCCGGGGGGTGGGGGAGCCCACCCACCGGGTACGGTGCTCCTCCCCTGGGGTTTGTTCCCGTGGACGGCATTAGGGGCCCAGTAGTCCCGCCGAGGTGGTGCAGAAGCCCCACAACCCATGTGACCTGGAGTAGGTGTTACGGACTAAGCCTGCCTGCTACTGCGGTCTCTAACGTTAGATCGCCCCGCTGACCGGTAAACAAAGACACGGTAACTTGACCCGCCGACAACACACAGTATCCAGGGGCACCGGGTCACGCTAAGTACACCCCGTCTTTTGAGGGTCTGTATACCTCTTTTCGTGTGGCGTAAAGGAACGTTTATATTTCACTCGAAGGCATCGGCTTTAATTCAATATTTAAATATGGTTAGAGTATATAACTTTTCTAGATAATTGCGGTAAATAATCATGGCTTTATCAGGATAGAATTGTAGTAGTAATGCCTATATACTTTTGAACACTATAGTGTGACTGCGAATGCCATGGAATAAGGTCAGCGATTACAAAGGCTACGGTGTTGAAAATGGCTCGGCGCGGTTTCATAAATTAATATTTTGGGTCACAATGATAACACGGTGTACCCACTACACTTGTCGAAAAGAATAGGAGTTACACTTTTGCATTTTACAAATGCACAAAAATTTGCAACGTCGTGTATTTTAAGTTATGCACCTTGCTTCATGCAATTCATTAAAACGTCGCTAGAGCGAGTAATAAAGGTTTTGCGCCCCTAGCGCTTCTTGTGCAAAATGTCTTTTCGAAATTTACCCCAACAATTATATTGTAACGTGTAATCAAAGATCATTTATATAGTGAAGTAATATAAGCTCTTTGCTTTGGATTCCCGAAATCAAACCCTCTGGTAATTAGCAGCGTGGCTTGTTATCAAACGATATGAAATCATCTGGATATAATTTGTCAGTTTTTGTCAGTCTTCTATCCTTGCCGGCAAACTGTAAACTGGATGGCTAAACTCCCTCGGCGTGTTATCTCTCTATTTGACCAATTCCTACTATTTCCAGCCGCGCCCTCAAGCCTGGTAGAGGCTAGTATATAGTGCCAAGCCCCAAACTGCGTATGAATTAATCTTTGATTTTTGTTTAGGCATTGTGTTTGTCAGTGGGTATATTGATTTTATCTCTTGCTACAAAAAAAACTAAAGATAGTGGGTTCTATATATTTTCTACATTTAGTGTTATTAGTTACAGTACCGTTTCTTATCCTTTGTGCTTTGTAATAAAGTCATTCCTTGACGCCATCTCTAGTTGTCTTTTGTACGTAAATTTTACCCGCCATACAACCAGAGTTCCTTTCTACAACATGTAGAATACTTGAAATTCCATTCTGAAAAAAAAGGATAAAAGCAAGATTAACCCTCGCCAGGTAATGGGTGTGTTTGCTATTGTATTACTTATCCCCACCATCTCTGAAGCCCCTGTCACTCACGCATAGTCTGATATCCTGAATATTGCCGACCCCCCACCCCCACCCTAGCCTCTACCAGGTTTGAGGGCGCGGCTGAAAATAGTAGAAATTGGCCAAATAGAGAGATAACACGCCGAAGGAGTTTAGCCATCCAGTTTACAGTTTGCCGTCCCCTCTACTGTAAACTGGATGGCTAAACTCCCTCGGCGTGTTATCTCTCTATTTGGCCAATTTCTACTGTTTCCAGCCGCGCCCTCAAACCTGGTAGAGGCTACCCCCACCCCACAACCATGGTTAGGAGTAAATCTAGAGCAAGGTTGGCTGTGGTTGGATGGTGTTCGGCAAGGTCGGCTACTTTCGGCTGCGCACATTTCTTAATGTATGAAACCTTCCCGTTTGGAATGTCCGGAATTTGTGACTAGTTTTTTTTTTTTTCTTTTTTTTTTAAATCACTAACAGGACACACATTAACTTGTTCTTTTAATTCCTGATGAATCACATTTGTTCTTTAAATTCGGGACAAATCGGTCAGGCCACATTTGTCAGGCTAGTAGGACCTTGACTAAGATTGTGACGTCATAATAGTTTTAAGGACAGGGATTTAGGACAGCTTTTAAGGTAACAAGACTGTTGGAATGTACACAATATAACCATAACTATCACAAGAATGCTTCTAGTTGTACGACAAAAATACGGCAAAAATTCCTTCTTGGTATGTCCTAATTGTATGGATAATACTTATATACAATCTGTCTACTCTTTTTGAATGTGGATCATGGGGTCCTGTGGCGTAGCGGCAAAGTGCGCTACTCGGAACTAAGAGCCCGGGGTTCGAGTCCTGACATGCCGCCGATCTTGTGCCCTTGGGAAAGGCACTTTACACGACTTTCCTCACTTAGCTCAGGTGTAAATGAGTATTGTCTTGTCATGTATTTGTCCTCTGTGTTGGTGGCGGCATTAATATAAGTTGAAAAAACTTAAGTGTGTCGTCAACACGTTTTGTGATTACATGGTGGAATTTATTAAAAAAATGTGGATAGTGTCAGTTGGCGTTCGTATCTTATCTCTCTTCCTTTAAATATTGCGTAGAATACTTCAAATTCCGATCTTCACAAAGAATCCACGTGAGATCTCCACTTGTCCTTCAAAGGGCGTGTTTCTATTGTTAGATAATCGCCGCTATCGATCATTATCAGGTGACGCGCCGATCCTTGTAAGGCCACACAGCCTTAATTTTATGGATGCCATCCACACGCGCATTGATTTTTTGCCTGTTTTTACAACAACAAAAAAGAAAAAAAGATCATGTCCCTTGAGGCTCTGGTCTGGCTCTAGGCTTGGGTAGTCCATGGTAGTTAGCCGGTGGTAACTCTAGAGGAAGGCACCCAGGCTAGAAAGCGTCACGACCTAAGAACACTGCATACGTACAGTGCCGATTCATACTGTAAATTCCGCAAAAATCCAGCATGTGCCGGCTTGTCGTATACGTCGCTATGTACTGCCGTAAATACACGATACCTGAGCTTTGTATTCCTGTGGTTTAGAAGCATTTTTATTTTTGGCCGGAATGTTTCTTTTACTCGCCCGTGCACACTAGTTTGGGGGTCTTCAGAGGATGTCATCCAGAAAATTAAGTGGGTGTAGCCTAAGGCAACATTCGTTAAAACGTACTCCAGGGGGTCAAAGGTCACGATGACGTAGTTGGGAAGGGCGCTATCCCATGATGCCTTTCGCACAATGGCGGAACACACCTAGGCGTCACCTCTCATGAGATAAATACATAGCATTGAATTATTTATGAAGATATAAAAGCCATTCAATTGCTTTGTCTACTTTAAATATTTATAAGGCACAGGTCGTTGTCTGTCTAACAACAGTGGCGGAGGTTCTATATTATTATCGTTATTTCTAGTGGGAATTTTGTTAAATGTTCCTATTGTGCGTATTTTAAGTACATACAGAGTTCCCCATAGGCACACCATTCCGTTCGAAAATATGTCCTGACTGATATGCTCTATTAAAGACTTGCGATTTTTTTATGATACTATAATGGCCCTTAAGAAAATGTGTCCTTGTAATAGCCAGGCCCTACCCAAAACAGTGAATTTTTAATGAGCTTTCAGATGACTGATATTCTTCTCAATTTCTTTCCAGTGCGCAGAGCAGTATGTAGCTTTTTGTACGCAATGTTTACATTTTATCATATGGTAGACATTTTAGATCCTACGCGTTAGGGGTTAAAATCTGACTATTATGTTATGGATAATCCTGATTTTTATTCATAAATTGTTGATTTGGGAATTTTAGCCAGAACTGAGGGTGAAAACTTGCAGAGATTATGAGTAAGGTTGATAATAGTGTTTATCTGTAGTTACTGGGAATACGTGCAGGCTTGCCGGATCACCTGAGGGAACACCGACCGAACCGGTTCGACTGGGTCACACCTTACCGACAAACGCCCATTATTACAAGGCAACTCGGACGAGTACACCCCTGCAAGACACCTCAGCTAGCTCTCTTCGTCACAAGAAGGCGATTTTGTCGGACTATTTTGTCACACGTTTGAGGTTTAATACTAGGAGCAAACATGGCTAGGTACGGGGGAAGAAACCTGTTGTACGAGAAGATGGATTTAGACTTTTGGCGGGCCATCTTTGCCGAGTTTTTGGGCACGATGTTGTACGTGTTTGTGGTGTGCGGGGCACATGTCGTGGTGGCTCTGTACAACGGAGTAGCGCAGTACACCGCCACCCCGACCGTCTTCCCGCACGACCAAATCAGTCCTATCGTCATCGCCCTGGCGTCCGGGTTAGCCTACGCTACCATGGTCCAGATGTTCGGACTGAACAGCGGAGGCCACTTCAACCCAGCGGTGACTATCGGCATGGTGATCGGGCAGAAGATCACCATTCTCCGGGCGTTCTTGTACCTGTGTGCGCAGGTGGTCGGCGGGATCGCAGGGGCAGCCATCATGTACGGGTAAGTCATGAAAAAAAACACGTATTTTGTTTTTGAAAACTACAATGATTATCTACACCTAAACACTGCTGTCTTTGTTTTTAATTACATACAGTATCATACTGTATACGTTTGTTAGAAATTACTATCTTCAAGCCTTAAGTTTTAGAAAAAGGGACAGATTGTTGGAGGGACCATTGTAAACAAAATGGCGGCCCTTATATTTTTATGTTGAATAGGAAGGGATAGAAATATGTTGTCAACGTGGCAGCTTTAGCAAGGGACGTAGGATGGTTTATTGGTGCATTTTGGTTTATTTTTTTCACACATGATACTCTTATCACCATGAATATCCAAGAAAGGAATGCCCAAGGTGGGTCTAGGGTGGGTGTCTGTTAACTCAACCACACCCAAAATTCCTTGCAGTTGCTATAATCACCTGTAACAATGGCACAAAAAGACAAACCTTATGCCTTTTTTCCTTTGCATTAAATCAACTAAACGCTCCTAGAAAATTATACAAGATTCTTAGATATCTTACTTGAACAAGAAAGTAAAATACTACTAGTTTATAATTGGTAAATGATCTAGGCTTAGCATATTACAAGAAAAGTACAAAAATTAAATAATTATTATAGTTGCAGCTTAGCAATTCAACAAGAACGTTACATTTTTAACATATTTCCGTTGAAAATAGTGCATTTTAGTCCGTTTTCTTCTACTCTAACTAATAAAGAATTTCAAATGTGATTAAGCTGTAAGTATAATGACTCTGAAAGAACTCCCAAAAAGGAGAGACAAACACAATGTACCTTATCATTGGATTTAGGTGGTATACACTCAACAATGCATGGTACATCCATGCTTAAGTGACTCAGGTAGTTGTTATGCTGTTCAAAAGAACTCAAACCTTTCATAGGTCACAATTATATGAATCACATACTCTCTTACTGTAGAAACTTTGAATAAAAAACATCTGTATGTAATTGAACAAATTATAACGATGGCAAAATTACAAACCTTCATTCTGCAAGCATGTTAATAATAACTTAAAGAAATCCAGTTGAATGTATTAGATCAGCTGACATTAGCTTGACCTTTTTAATTCTCACACCAGCTATACCAGTACACATGGACGAATTTTTTTTCAAGATTATGTTTTAACGAAACTTGAATAACAAGCAAAGACGTTAATACTAGTACTGTATATACGTCAGAAATGAGTGTTTCCCTTAGCCTATTTTGTCATTATCAAGGCAAATTTAAAAGAGTGAATATTTGTGGTTTTACGGTATCCTTTGGAGAGATAACAAGACGCGACCTCACTATGGCCTAAGGCAAGGTAAATAGCTGAGTAATTAGGTGTGACGCATTGAACACTGTACTGTGCTTCATGTCTGTCCATTTTGTCCAAAGCATATAGAACATGAATTTCATTTTGTCATGTACAAATATGATGTTATACGTAACAAGCTATTTACATTTCTCGAATCAAGTACAACAGATTTTAAAGAGTCTCGATGTTGGAGATAGATTTTAATATATCTTTACATGCAATGGTCCCCACAACGCAAGATAGGCAGATATATAAAGGAATGCTTTGTTATTAGAAAAAAATTCCGAAACTTGTGATTAGCTCACTCGACTGTAACACTTTGTCAAAGACTTGTGCTGTCCCTTATTATTTGAATAATTATGACATAGATTTGTGATTTTATTTGATATTAGGTCTTATTCAACTCAAAGTAGTAAGTTGAATCAACCCTTTCCCACAACATACTAATATCTGAGAAAAATGCGATGCCGCTGACAGAAAACGATTAAATCTACATTTAGTTATGGATACCATATAGAATATGATAAAAAAATATGCCTCACATGGGGGGGGGGCAACCACTGTATGTTGTTTTGTTGTTGTCTTGAGGAAAACGCCGGTGGCACCGGGAACTGAACAAGGACTGTTTGAACGCACAAAATATACGTCGAAAATGTGAATTAATGACACAAATATGTTAAAAAGTGATAGTAACTGTTGATAACACAAAAAATTAGTATCATTAGAAGATTCAAATTTTAGGTTACAAAAAAATTAAAAAAACAAATTTAGGTAAAAAAAAATATGCATGTACCATGTGATTTGAAATTTCAATCGACCATGTCTATTTAATGTTCTTTTAAAAAGTTAGTATGTAATATAAAAACGATAGAAAAAAGACTTTTTTCTTGTCATGACCATTTCTTAACGAAGAAAGTTGAATCAACTTAAGTCAATTATAAATACGTGCCCTTTGAGTGTTAATGACAAAATATGACCCTTACGAGTGTATACGTACTTAAGAGTTGGAAACAATTCAATTCAATCAATTCAATCAATACTTTATTATTGTACCAACATTGCAGACACACAGTATATAGAATTATAGTGTTGCCTGAATGGCATTGGTATTACAATCAATACATTAAAAACGCATAACATTTCATTGCATTACATACATATATACATGAATATATGAAAGTTTATTGCAAATACTTTCCCGAGGGCTAATTGCAGTTACAAACAACATAAGACAGAAAATACAGTGGCATGTGAGACTACATCTACGTCTAGCATTATACTATATTCTACAACATACATGGTATTAGTTTTATATACATACTACTGATATAAACTGTACACACCAGGCAAAGCAAGTTCTGATTATACAGTCTGATTGTAGAGTCTTGTGGATTGATGTAGGAACGAGTTCTAAGGTCTTTTTGTTCTGGCTGGAGGGATGGAGATGACGTTTTTGTTTCTAAACATAGCTTTCAGTCACGTTTGTTCACATGGTAGAAATTTGTGATCGTACCACAACTGAGTTCCCTGTGGGTTGTCTATTAATATCAGAATTGTGAGATAATTGCACAAATATCTTGAAAAGTGGAAGTAACTTATCATCAGACAGATATTGTAAATAAAACATTTAAATTTTTGGTACAAGAATAATGACATTTCAGTTAAGAAACAGATAAGTAAAATACGATAAACTTAATTTTTGGTTCGTTATTAGCATACATCCCTGAAAAGAGTGTTATAGAGAGAACAAGTTTTTTAAATTTAGTAATAGAAATTCACAGGTGAAGGATTGTGAAGTATAGAAATTGGTGTAGTATGACTATACAAGTGAAATTCCATTTTCTCGTATACAAAGTGTTTAAAGTTAAAACTTTTGGTCCAACACAAAAAAACACTCTCACCTAGAGCGTTCGACCAGTCACTTTGGTCTTCCTCAGTCAGTCTGACTGGCGAGAGAATTTTTTTTTGTTTTGGAACAAAGGTTTTAACTTTAAACATGTAACTACCAACACAGATGAATTTCATGAAAGTATTTGCTGTGTTTGCTGAAGAATGCAAACATCTAAGAAAATGATCCTTGTATTTCTTTAGATTGTCACCGTCCGCTAGT